GAAAAGGTAACACATTGTTTTGGGACCATTGATTATACCTCCTTTGATATTTTAGGGTTTCATTAACTGTCCTACTTGTTTTGTGCCCAATATGAGCTTGAACTTACAACCCTGAGATCATGAGTCATGCTCTACTGACAGAGCCAGCTGGCGCCTCTTAAAAAAAAAAAAATTTTTTTTTTTTTTCCCCAACATAACCTTCCTACATTTTGTTGTCCGTCCGTGATGCTTAACTGTAGCATATCTACAGCTGTCTGTTTAGGAAATGAATGTTTTACCCATTTGTGGCAGCTTGTATAGATATAGATGGAGTCACTATTTTGAGCTAAAAGATGGTCTTAATGTTAGTTTTAAATATTATGGAAATGTGCATATATCAGTGTGATTGAATTTCAACTAGAAATTTCAAGTTTTAGTAAACGGTATCCCCATTTTGTTTTCTCTCGACAGGGAACATATACTTGTCTTTGTGTCTGGGCTGTATTTTTTTCCTTTCTCAGATATTTTATCCCACATATTCTCCTTATTTCCTTTTAGAGTGCTGTTCTGTCTTCATCCTATATACCCTTTTGGCCTGTCCCTTTTCTAAAGCTCTGTAATTGAGTTTTCTGGGGTTGGGGCTGGAGAATAGCAGACCAGTTGCTGATAGCAGTGTCAGCTCTTCATTGTACCTTGTGCTTGGGGCACCCTGGAACTTTTAAAAATCTTTACTAGTACTTTGCTACTCAGATGGAGATCTGTCTACGTAGCCTGCATGCAGTTGCTAAGTATTACAAATGTACTTGGGGGGCAGCTGGGTGGCTCAGTCAATTAAGCATTTGACTCTTGATTTCGGCTCAGGTCATGATCTTCAGGGTCTTTGAGATTGAGCCCTGCATTAGGTTTCCACACTAGGTGTGGAGCCTGCTTGGGATTCTCTCTCTCTCTGCCCTCCCCCCATTAAAAAAAATACATATATACATGTATGTATATATACATTTAGTGCTCATTGATAACAGCCAATTGGTACCTTTTAAGTAATTTATTCCCTTGGATTAACGTCTTAACATAGAATCAGATGGGGCTGGGCTGTCAGCTCAGTGTGATTTCAATAGCCTGTATAAGCCTGATTTTTAAGAAAGTTCAAAAGTGGAATTAATTTTCCTTATCTTTGCAGTCAGAAAGGTAAGTTGAAGTTAATGCAATTATTCTGTGTCAGTGAATTTGGAAACCAATTAGCTCGGACCAAATTGTGTGTCTTATAAAATGTTTTGCATCAGAATTTCTATATTGTCATCCACATAGAATACTGTGATGCCATTCCCCCCCCCCCCGCCAAATTGGAGGGATTTAATGTAATGATTCTCCAGTAGGCTGAAAATAGCATGAGAATCATTCTGTGCTGTAGCATTAATTCAAACTCTAGATTAAATTAGAAAAGGATATTGTACTGATGTCACATTGACATTGTCTTACACAAGTTGAATAGATTTTTGTGTCATAAAAGGTGACTGGAAGAAAACATCTGTGAATGCATTATGTAATTCCAGGGAACATCCTCGTTGGAATTGTGTAACAGGTGTTGGGTTTGGAGAAGCATACTAGCAGAATTAGTGAACTGATTGAAAGTTCTAGGAAAAATGGAAGCAGGAAAGCATGGATTTGGGCTAGTAATACAGCGAGATCCCATTGGGAAGGGAGGTCATGCAGTGAGATCGTCTGTCTTCTGTGAACATGTTCATTTGATAAGTCAGAAAGGGGTTGTTTGCTGAGAAAAATATAGACCCATTTATAGAGACACCTTCTCACTTTTAATTGTTTGGGATGTGTGGCCTAAAATCCTCACCTTTTGGGTAACTTAATTAACTGAGCATTGTGTTTTAAGGGATGGGAAGCCTTTAGAAATCACTTGTAATAAACAGCCAGTACTTTTTCAACTTACAAAGAAACAGTCCTGGAGATGTTAAATATGGCACTATTCATATACTAAGTTTTTGTGTTCTCTGAACATTTGATTTTTTTTTATACAACTTCTAGTACCAAGGTATATGAACATAAAGTATATAGGTTTACATATTGAAGTAGAGGAAAACAGAAGTCAAATTATATAAAAATCAAGGGTAGTGGGAGTTGAGTATTTTATTGGAAGGCATAGGTTGAGATTCAGATTCCTGTAGAGGGAATCACTGTATATTATAATTTTAAAATGATGCTTTGGAGTTTATTCAGTGAACATTGGCTTTTTATTTTAAAGGTCTTGTTGCAGTAGGAGAAAGAGCACAAAAGAGGTCCGGAAACTTCTCTGCTGCAATGAAAGATCTGTCAGGTGAGAGTACGTTTTAATTTCCTCTTGTCCCATTCCCACCTTGAATTCATAATTCTTTGCCACAGATAGTGAAAATAATTAACACATGGTTGTTTTTTCCTCTGCAGGCAAACATCCTGTGTCTGCTTTGATGGAAATCTGTAATAAGAGAAGGTGGCAACCACCAGAATTTCTCTTGGTCCATGATAGTGGCCCAGATCATCGCAAACATTTTCTCTTTAGGGTAAATATGAATTTCTGCATTAATTGTATACCCCTATTAATTTGATGACTTAGTGGGTGAGGGATAGGCATTGTACGGTCACAGGATTGATACATTGTGGGTTGGGAGTGAATATGTATGTGTGGGTAGAAGTGGTGGTAGGTTTTTTGGGTTCTTAAATATTTAAGTATACTTTAATATGACCTGCTAATATCCTGGTTTTCAAAAATGTTGGAGGGAAAGATGTGGGCAAAATCTGATGAACAGTTTGTTGACATTTTCTGATGGAACATGGGGAATTAACTTACAGTTTTATCAGGGTTTTCTCCACACACCCCCCCCCATTTGGAGAGCTGCTTTTAATTTGCAGTCCCTTTTCCCAAATGATTTGCTTCTTCTGGGTTGAGATTAATTTGACTTACATAGTGTGGGGTTTATATTTTTGTAAATTATTTTTCTAGCATTTAGTGAAAAAATACAAAGCTAATAGATATTAAAGTTTGATGCTGTTCTTATTGTATGTTTTTCTTGAATAGGTATTGAGAAATGGAAGCCCTTACCAGCCCAATTGTATGTTTTTCTTGAATAGGTATTGATAAATGGAAGCGCTTACCAGCCCAGCTTTGCCAGCCCTAATAAGAAGCATGCTAAAGCCACAGCAGCTACTGTGGTTCTTCAAGCAATGGGCCTTGTACCAAAGGACCTCATGGCTAATGCCACTTGCTTCAGGAGTGCCTCACGTAGATAGATTGAGGTTTTATATTAATCATTTCAGATAATTTTACTCTGCATCAAAATGTATTTCCTCTTTAATGTTGTAAATATTTGGCAATTTAAGACATTGTGTAAAAAGCAATCTGTACAAACATCTCCAGGCTTTGATTTTTGTACCATGGAAATTGTATTTAACCATACAGGGTTTTGGTATGTTTATATTGTTTACCTTAGTGATGTATTTGTTTAAGTGGCTAACATCCAAACGATTGTTTGAAGGCATCCGTAATCTTCAGTGTGGAATGTTAAATAACGCTTTTATACTGTATTTTGTACTATGATGTAACCTCCCTTCCTTATGGCTAGGCTGCTGTAACACTTGCCTGTAATCAGTGAAGGGCTGTGCACCTTGTACTAGTTCACAATGGGTTCTGCTGGACAGATATTGGGCCAGTGTTACTGAGGTAATCAAGCAAGATCTGTTCCACAGGGCTAATAGCCACCATCTCCCCTTAAAATTTTGTAGAGGTTATAAAAAGAAAGTGGTATGTTGTGTGATGATCTGCACTAAGTCCTGCATTCCCATCAAAGCCACTTGGGCCATGAGAAGGGAGTCAAAATGAAGTCCGATTAGAATTCTGCAGAGGCCAAGTACATTTAGTATGGCATTGAGTTGTGATATAGTTTTACTTTGATGTGCATTTTGAATTTCAGCTACACCTAGATAGACGTTAAATGATAATTAAAATGCTGTAACCAACTTATCTAATAAAATCGGCACCCAGCCATTATTTTGTTGACTATGAGAAAGTTTAAGTTTATGTTAATTTTTAGGGTCTGATAGAATATTTCATGTGTATTACAGTGGTATTCATAATGCTATGTCTCTAAACTTTATTTTCAAAAGCTTAAGGCCCAAATATAAACTTCTCTGGAATAAATGTGGTGTTTTATTTTCTGGATCATAAAGTGAACACATACTTCTTCACTAAATACTGTTATTTCTTTACCCAATGCTTTTGATTTCTAAGTACTTTTATTTTTAAGAAAATCTGAATTACACACACTCACACCCCCACCCACCCACACACACACCCCAGAGCAATAAATACTACTTTACCATGACAGCTGAGCATACATTACAATTAACACTATTCTATGTGGAATACAAAATACCCTTATCTGAGTTAAGATGCATTAAAAAGCCAAATTTAATATATTTGAGAATAAAGGAATTATAAATCAGAAGGAAAGCAGCAACTAAGTAGACACATCAACAATCAGCAGATAAATTTCTACATTTGTTGTGTATCTTTATAAAGCTAGAACCTGCATATAATTGCAGGTGATTTATCAAGTACAGTTTTGCCCTGATGCCATCAGTCACAATGCCAGGAGATAACGGATAGTAATTTAGCTTCAATTTCCCAGTTGCAAGGAAACACTGACATTCATGACATTCAGTTTTCTACTCAGTTTATAATTAGGTTGTAAGGGTCTGGAAGTCTCAAGTTACTGATGCTTTTAAAAAGTTGGGAGTTGTCTTCATATCTGAATGATCTAATCAGAATAGTAAAAAATAGGCTGATTTTTAAAAATCTTAATCCTATTGCTTAACGCATGTAATAAAAATTAAAAGGTTAACATTTATAAATACTAGAATATTTTAAAGATAGTTATATTCCTTTAACTTCAAAATGAACTTTAGAGCCAAAGGGATAACAATCTTGAATTTCCTTGCTAGAAGGCTTTTTCCTCAAAGATTCCTTTTAGGCTTACTTTGGTGTTCAGGATCTCCAATTATAAACGTAGTCACTCATTTCCACATGCCTTAGAGATGATTTCCCCAGTATTGGTGTTTGACTGAGTTGGTCCAGAGTCTTAGGATGCAACCCACAGTTAGCAAGCTCCTCATGAACAGTCTCCTGTGGAAATTTGTACTCTAGTTAGTTAAAAAGCACATCAGTCTTTGAACACTCATTACTTTTATTTTTGTATTTTTTAGTAATCTCTGTGTGGGGCTTGAATTCATGACCCTGGCAAGCGTTGCATGCTCTTCCGGCTGAACCAGCTTAGGTTCCCCTTTCTATTTTAGAGAAGGCTGCATGCCCAATGTGGGGCTTGAACCCAGAACCCGGATACCAAGAGTCGCATGCTCTACCAACTGAGTCCGCTGGGTGCCCCTGGACACTCAGATTTTAATAATTACCATGGGAACTTTGACAAGTACCTGCCTTAATCATTTGCTTATAAGAAAAAGGCAGTTCATGATCAATAGAAGTTGACCCTAAGAATTTTCACATACAACAGCATCCACAAATAATTTTGGTTATTTTCAGTCTGGCAAATGATAAAAGCATGAGGCAATTTTAAAGGTCTTAATACCTGTAAATAAAAACCTAACAATGTCCAAAATTAAAAGCAAATACTGGTTAAATACCCATAGTTGTTTATAATAAAAGAATCCGGTACTGTTAATTTGTGGATCTGAGATGGTCATGACCATAACTTGCCTTTTTGTTTGGGAAGTTCTTTAGTCATTGTTGAGTACAACCACCTAAATCCATAAAATTTACCTTAAAAAAACCAAATCTTACCCCTTCATCTTAGTAATTAGCACTGATAAATAGTATAGTTTAGTAAGCTGAGAAACAAGTTTGGCTCATTGTAAATCACTTATTTCTTGCATCTGAGGAAACGAGCTACAAGGAAAGATGCATACAGCTGTCTACTTACCTTATCCAGTACTTTATTCACTGGCAGGCAGGTATTAAATACAGCAGTTGGCTCATGTGTATACAGTCCAGCAGAGAATGACCCCTTTTGTGAAGATCTGAGTAGCATGGTTACAGAATGTAGAGAATGAGGCATGACAGGACCTGTAATCTCCAAACTAAATTGATCTTTGTATCCAGAAACAGCCTGTGTCTTCACATTTACACTTCGTGCCTTCAAGAAAATTTAAAGAAAAAATTATGGTCACCATCTCTCAAGCTTTTTTGTCCCTAGCTATAGACTTGTTCAGTAACTTCACTTGGGTTTTCCTTTTTATTAGTATACGGACTAAAAGGTTCAGCATAGAGGGAATACAGTCCGTGGTAGTTTAATAGCATTGCACGGTGACAGGAGCTACTACGCTTGTGATCATAGCATAAAGTAGTGCACAAGACCTCCAAAGAACGCTAGAGGAGTAAAAATGTTAATTCTCCATCTGTAGCACATCTTCGCCAAATTATGACTCGGTTTATGCATGTTTTAGAGACTATAATTTTTCACATGGTATCTGATTTAGTAATATACTTTTTCATTAAAAAAAATTTTTTTTAAGTAGGCTCCATACCCAGCATGGAGCCCAATTTGGGGCTTGAACTCATGACCCTGAGGTCAAGACCTGAGCTAAGAATCAGTCGCTTAATGACTGAGCCACCCAGGTTCCCCTATTAAAATTTTTTTTAATGGAAGTACAGTTGACACACAATGTTACATTAGCTTCAGGTGTACAACAGTGATTCTACAACTACACACATTATGCTATGCTCGTTAAGTGCAGCTCCCATCTGTCACCATACAATGCTATTACAGTACCGCTGACTGTATTTCCTATGTGGTAACTTTCATTTCCCTGACTTACTCTATTCCATAGCTGGAAGCACTCATCTCCCACTTCCCTTTACCCCTTTTTGCCCACCTCCCATCCCAATTTGGTAATATGTTTTCAATGCAGAATGTTGGGCAAATATAAGAATAAATTCTATTTTTTTTTTTTTTTGCTTTTTTTATTGTTTTTAGAGAGAGAGAGACAGCTAGAGAGGGAACACAAGCAGGGGGAGTGAGAGAGGGAGAAGCAGGCTTCCCGCCGAGCGGGGAGCCCGATGCGGGGCTCAATCCCAGGACCCTGGGATCATGACCTGAGCCGAAGGCAGACGCTTAACGACTGAGCCACCCAGGTGCCCCTAAATTCTATTTTTAAAAGTAAATAATTCTATTGCTAGTAACATTCACTATGTATTTTGTATTTACACGCGTAATTTTTTTCATCACTATCGATACACAGCTATTCTTTTCACTTATCCATGATTCAGGTTTTGACATTAATAATGTAACGTAACAATCTTGGCTAGGTTCTTTCATTGGTTAAGAAATGAGACAAAATGAGATTAAGCAACTTTTCCATATGGCAAAATGCTTTTGTTGCCGATCATATTTATTCAGTCAGAAGAAATGACTTTCATGTAATTCAAATAAAACATTTCATATAATTACTGTATTTTCATGTAATTCCTTTGATATACCTTTATATCAATGAATTTTTTTACTGGGAGGAAAGCAAAGACAAAATCTGCACCATACAAGAATTTGTTCTTGATTTCTTCTTAAAAGGCTAGTTTATGAGGATTAGTGTGGATTTTTTTCCCCCCTTTTCATTACCTTAAGCATTTGCATTGTGGCACCTCGGAAAGCTACAGGCGATAAGAGGGTTGGTGGAAGTCCTGCCTGTGGACCTGAGCTAGCAATTAAACTCTTAGAGTTGATCAAAAAATTCAGCAACGTAAGGGTATTCATTCCCTTCACCAACACAACAGACTCAGGTCTGTGATCCATTTGCACTTCATGTTTCTCTTTACGTCTGAAGATGACAATCAAGGAACTTGCAAATTTAAATCCATACCAATGGAAAAAACAGTCCTCTTGACCCTGAATAACCTCGGACCCTTTCTTTCCATTCGGAACTGGAAATACTCTTGCTACCCCCGACTCTGCTGCAATTATAACGCATCTGTTTACATCAAAATTTCTCTTTGACCATTTGAATTTGCTAGAAGTTGACACCTAACAAAAACTAATTTCTTCTCTAGTCAAAAAACATGCTCTATATGGAATGTTTTCATTTAAAAAAAAACAGTTTAGTAATAATTGTTCACAGGTTACTGGTACTTAGGGAGTCTGTTATTTAATATCATGATGGAGAATTAGTTTAAATATGATCTTAAGATAATTTAAGATTACGGTCAAATAAAGCTGTCAGTCAATATTACATACATAGTTCACTAACTTAATTCAGTGAAAACCAACTGTAGTTAACACAACTGAAGGATACAGCTTGATAGAGAGTATGTCTGGTTTTTTAATTTTATCTTGCACACCCATCTCTTCCAGCCAGGAAAAACTTTCATCTTCATCCTCATCACTGATTACTTGTTCCCTAGAAAATTGTTATAGTTAAGAGTTTCCATTTCATAAAACTGTTCCCTCTACAAAACAACTACACTGAGTCCGTAAGTCCTTAGGTGACGTAAAAGGTGATCTTAATCACATACTCCCCCTGTCCCAGGCTTGTTCCAGATGCCTTTTTCTTCCCATGGCCATTTTCTTTTATTAACGGCAGAGAAAATTCAATACCTACATGAGAAAAGAAAAATATAACTTTTCTTTAATATAATCTCAAAGAACTTAACAGGCGTGCCCTACTTTTAGAGAGTATGAAATCTGAAGATTTGAGCTTTTACACTTGATCTTTTTTTTTTTTTTAAAGATTTTATGTATTTATTTTGACAGAGAGAGACACAGCGAGAGAGGGAACCCAGGCAGGGGGAGTGGGAGAGGGAGAAGCAGGCTTCCCGTGGGGCGGGGAGCCCGACGTGGGGCTCCATCCCAGGACCCTGGGATCATGACCTGAGCCGAAGGCAGATGCTTAACGACTGAGCCACCCAGGCACCCCTACACTTGATCTATTAAGACACAACTTTCAAGCTTGACAGTAGCCCACAACACACACACACACAACCCTCTTTCAACAATATATACTCTCACTACATGTGGTACTCTTTCCTAAAGTGCTGATTGAGCCTACTAAATAGATTTCATGATCATTAATGACTGACCCATTTGGAAAATTATTGTTAAAAAGGGGGTAGGTAATTTGTACCATCAAGGAATTTCTAGAGGAGTATATTCAGATGGGAACTTCCCAGCTCAATATGTGTTGGTCATATAGACGGGAATACCATTAACTTAAAGCTATGCATAAGGGACAGCTTAAATCATTTCTGGGAAAAAAAAAAAAATCAGAAATAAAGACAATGTTTCTTAAAAAATATAGGTATAACTGGTAAAAGACAATTCAATTGGTAAAAAGACAATTCAAATTTTAGCTTTTAGGGAAAGTAATTAATATATAGTGGGGGTAGTCTCATTCTTTAAGCCAATAGTTTTACCTTCATTTTTCATAGCTTCTCTTATGCCTCTAGTTGTAGGAGATATGAGAGCTGTGATTACATCATTTCCTGCTAATCCTGCTGCGCGGAACAGGATAGTAAACTGATAGGTACAAACGTAGAAATATGGGCAAAGTTTTGTCTTCAGCAGATTATAGAGAGAAGTGAAGCTCACAGACCTATAAAGCAGCAAAATTTTCTTTAGATTTTTTACATATTTAGCTTAACATCTAAAATTTAGTTTTTTATAATTCAGTTTGATACCTGACTGAAAACACAATACAAATATTACATATAATGGTTTAAATTTTTGCTACTACATACATAACTTGGCTTTTACAGGACTAAAACTGGTCATGGGACTCACTGATGACTTCTAAATACTTTAATAAATAGTGTTTACCGCTTAAACACTCAACATTTTTTCTTTAAACAAAACACAATCGGTAACTGGTTGCTGACTTTTCTGAGCAGCTTCTGCTGATGAGAAATGAAGCAACCACTGAGAAGAAATAACATAAAAGAATGCCCGTATATATTTATGTAACACTTATACGTAATTCCATAATTGCATGAAGAGTGAATAAGTTAAAAAAAAAAAGTGAACAGTTCAAATGTTAGTTATTAACAGTTTAGAAAAAATAATTCAGAAGGACACAGAGATCCTTTTACCACTACACATTTCCACATCGTAAAGAAGATAAGGAGAGAACACTGATAAAATGAGAATTCACTATTAGGATGCACAAGTTTTTAATCTTACCAGTCACTCATTAAAATGTGTTGCAAGGTTTCATCATTTGACCAAGGGCTTATCTTTCCAGACATTTTTCTATCAGCTCCAATGCGAGGGAACAGTGGTAGCCAAGGAAAGGCAGGCTGGAGCCAATAGATAAGGCTCTGCTGGAAGGCACAACGGAGCTCAGTGGAGAGCTTGGGATCCTAAAATCCAGAGATGATATCGGACAGCTTTTGCCACATTAGAAGTATAAAACTTCATTAAAAAGCACTAAATACACCACTTATTCTCAGAATCTTTATACTGTTTCCTATAGGAAAGTATTAATAACTGTTACAGGGGCTAAAATGTAGTTTATTCTTGCCAGCATTTATTGTCTGTTAAACTGTACCAGAAAGAAGACTTAAATACAGATGGGAACATTCTCTCAGCTCTCCCGAGAACAATGGCTATCTGTTATCATGAGGGGTGGGGTGGTATGGGTAGGGATTGATATTGTATGTAGGTAATACTATGTTCAACCCCTCTCCTCTCACAACTGTTTCAACAGTAGCCAGTAAAAATGGGTAATGGAAATAAAAAACCATCCTGATCTATATTAAAAAAAGATGTACCAAGGCCTCTTTCAGGTAATCACTTTTAACCTAGTTTGAGTTGATGAGCTGCTTGAGCAATCACATTCCTCCAAAACCATTCTAGAACTCATCAACTCTACAATATTTACAACAGACTATCAACCAGGTAGCAAGATTAGTATGTATAAAGAAAGAATATACATCATATCAGAAAATCAGAAGAACCAACCTGCCTTAGCAATCCTACTCACTTGCTTTTCATTTCTTTCCCTTATATTTTCTTTCCCAAAAGGCCTCAGAAAAGAATGGCTTAGTTCAAACAATTCCTGCCTATAACATTAATTCTCAGGACAGGTCTCTAAATTCAATGGGCAATTACTGAATCTGACAGAAAAAACTGCATGAAAGCACCATTTAGGAAATACAAAATTTCCCAAGTCTTTGTGTGTCTAAATGTCAGAAGAAAAACTTAATAGAAGGAAATATCTGCGATATTTTGCAGAGAAGTATGTTTTACAATTAATTGGTTACTTTAAAACATACCTACTTTCCTTCAGAATTACCTGTATACTTTGAGGCAAAGTAACTTCTGTTGCCCTACAATGCTGGATGACACCGTGAGCCTCTTCCTGTGCTTTCAAATGATCTGCCCAGGTAAAGGGTTGAGAAGAGGTGAAAAGGAGTCGAGTTTTAATACTCCAGTCTGCAGGTAACTCAGTACTTTCTGAGGATGGAATATCAGATTCAGAGACTGATCCTTGTGGAGTCTTTTAGAAAACAAAGAACACAAAAATTAGCAGAGTACCAAAAAACCAACAAAACACCAAAAAACCCCTTTAATCTACACATTTTATTGACTAGCATGGTCACTGAAATGTCAAAATTTTATAAACTGTTTAAAGTAACCCTGACAATACACTACACACTATGAAACACTCTGGAAAGAGTTACACTAAACTGTTGACAGTAGTTTTCTCTGGGAAGCGGGGATTTATTGTTGTTATGGGTGGTAGTGGTGGAGGGGCACATTTTACCTTTTAGTTTACACATAGTTGTATATAGTTTAGTTACAAGAGGTATGTACTATTTCCATAATCATAATTTAAAAAAAACCTAATTTTAAAAAAATCTACTATTGATCTTGCTGTCAAAGCAAAAACCTTCCAAATGTTTTATTATTTTTTAAACAATTTATTTATTTATTTATTTTAGGGGGCAGGGAGGAGCAGAGGGAGAGGGAGAGAACCTCAAGCAGACTCCCTGCTGAGTGTGGGGCCTAACTCGGGGCTCAATCTTTCAACCCTGAGATCATGATCTGAACCAAAATCAGGAGTTAAACACTTAACAGACTGAGCCACTCAGGGGCCCCCCCAAGTATTTAAAAAGCACCTTTTCAGCCTCTAAAACTCTGGAACCAGGGCTAAGCGGCTCCTGTAGGAAACTTAGGGCTCTTAAGAGGCCATATGTAAAAAAACATTTCCTGATCTCAAAATTTCCTTCCAAACTGTTCTGCTGTCCTTTCAAGTCAATTTTCTCCACTTTACAATGATTCTTTGAGGTGGCATCACAAAAAAACAACAGGTAAGGGGGAACTATTTTTTTTCTTTTTTGAAAAATTTTATTTATTTATTTATTTGACAGAGAGAGAGCGCGCACACAAGCAGGGGGAGTGGCAGAGGGAGAAGCAGGCTCCCCGTTGAGCAGGGAGCCCAATGCGGGACTCGATCCCAGGACCCCGGGATCATGACTGGTGCGGAAGGCAGTCACTTAACCAACTGAGCCACCCAGGCGCCCCTGGGAGCGGGGGGTGTGGGGGGCGTGTACTATTTCTAACAGACCCTGTGAAGGTCACCTATTTACATGAAAGGGAGAGTGGGTCTTAGCTCTTCTAGCCTGCTCCTATTAGGATAAACAACGTATCTGTTAAACTATCACAGCAGGAATCCCCGGGGCGTGGTATCAGGAGTGTGTGTGTTGTGGTTGTGTCAGCAAGGTTCGGTGATCCGCCACAACCTGTGGAGGTAATTTGGGGATTTTGTTTGAAGCTTCAGTTAAGGACTAAGTTCAAACAGCAGCTGAGTGTGGAGGGATGAGCTGGAGCTGTCACCACCCACAGAGGAACAGCATAACAGCTGGAGGTAGGAGAACCTGTATCTACGCCAACTTTAGCGTTGGTACCGTTAGAAACAACATTTTTACATCAGACCAAGTCCATTAGGGTGCTGATGCCATCTTTTCAGCCCTGGCAGACGATCACTCCCTCAACACTCTGCGCAAAACTACTTCCCAAGTAAACGTTTCTGAGAGGTATGAATTTAGCTTATAAGGACATACATTCTATTAACATTTAAAAACTATTACCTGGAGTAATTCAGTAACGGTTGCCCTTTCAGGAAACTTCTCTTCCCACAGCAAATCATTTTCCTGATTAGAATCCAGAAACTGAGGGGAAAACAACGGTCCTTTTTAATCCTAAGTGATGCTGAGTTTGCGTTAATACGTACAGAGCCTCACCCGGCATACAAGTTCCCAATAAATGCCAAGTGCGGGAATTCACATGCAAATCAGTAGATCAGTGTTCCAGTTTTGTGTCTGAACTTTACTATCAAAATTGGGTGTGTGTGGGGGGGGAGGCCGGTGATATGTGCGTCTAATAATTGATGTAGAAATCTCAAATCAAAAGTTCCGAAAGGCTTTGGGGTAAGAAAATGCTAGGAAATTCGGACCCCAGGACTCAACACTCCTCCATCTCCAGAATTATTTTCGAGCGCGTGAGAAGGGAGGCTCTGAATCACGCAGGGAAGGAGGGTCTCCTGTAATCTTCCCATCGAGCAGTGGCCTTCCTGGATGAGTCGTTCCAGGATTTTTCGAGCCGTCCTCCCAGGGATCTCTAACCCCCAGGAGGCTGCGGCTCAAGCTCCTCCGACCCGGCCCCCCGGGCTGGACCGCGGGCGAGGGGGGGCGCGCCCCAGTGTCCTACGCCTCCCTCAGGCCGGCCGACGGAGCCGCTGGCGGGGCGCACTCCACACAAAGCCCACCTTTCAGAGCCGCCCCTCCCAATGCTCACGGCCCAGCTACCGCGGCGGGTACCACTCTCCGCGCCCATTTCCCCTCGACCGCGAGAACTTGCCCTAGTTCACAGCCGAGTTCCCGCACTACGAGAGCCCCTCGCCGGCCAGGCCCGAAGACACTCACCGGGCCCTGCGCCTCCTGCTGGCCGCGGGGCGGCCCGTCGGGGGGCTCCGCGGCGGCCGAAGGCCGGTTGTCCAGGCGGGCGAAGGGGTTCCTGCGGGCCGCGGCCGGGCCGCCGCCGCCTCTGCCCGCCGCCGCCGCCGCCGCCGCCGCCGGGAAGGGGCGGAGGAGCAGCCCGGCCGCCAGAGCGGCGCGGCGGGGCGCCGGCTCGGGCTGCTCGCCGGGTGAAGCGGCCGCCCCCCGGCTCCGGGCCCTTTTCCGTCGGAGCCGCAAAGTCTCGGGAGGCTTCCTGAAACTGGGCGAGTAGCCAGGCACCGAAAGGGCCATAACGCGCGGCTCACGCAGAGGAGCCGGCCGGCCTCCCCGCTGGCGCTTCCCGCGCGCGCCGGCCCCGCCCCCGACGTGGCCCCGCCCCCAAGGCGCGGCAAGCGCGAGGGACGTCGGCCGCCCGCGAGGCCCCGCCCCTACTCCTCGGTCCGGTCCGGTCCGGTCCCGTCCCATCCCGTCCCGTCCGATGCCCGGCGCTCCTTCTGGGCCCTTGGCCTTAGTCGGGTCGTGGGTGCCGAGTAGCTGGGAAACCCTCGGTCCGGGGCACCGATGTGCACTCCCCGAAATAGCTAACCGCTGTTTAAATCTGCAGCAGAGATGTAACGAGCCCAGGACATGGCGCTCGGATGAAAAGGAGACGTCACACTTGAGCCACCGCTTAAGCTTACAGAGGCAGTGGCGACGTCTAGAGCTGGCGAGAGGGGCCTGCGCCTCCCTCCCCCTGACCGAAAATGGAGAGCCCCGGCCGGAAGTCGGCAAGCGCAGCCTCCTAGCCCCCTACCCAACGCATCGCCACGGCTGCCCCCCAATCCCCTCCACCCCGCACGCTGCAGCTGCCACTGGCAAGTTACGGTGATGGTCCTGTTTGATCCTGAGGAAACCCTGAAATAAATGAATGCTTGAAAAAATTTTGAAGTGTCTATGGACTAAATCCACTGAGACTTGAAAATATACTCAAATGATTACGACAGTAAAGCCTTGTTAAGAAAAGGAAGGTATTGAGAACGGAGTAGATACAAAAGTAATAACGTTATTTTGACATACCAAAAGACCAACAACTTTATCGATAGAGTAGCATGGCTTTTCCTGAAAGCAATTTTCTTCATGGAAAGAATTTTGTAACAGGCAAATGTATAGAAACAAGCCAAAAAGAATTCCAGAATATTCCCTTTAGATGTTAATTACGGGCTTTTCTTGACCATTTGTACAATAATTTTTCAAATACTTTTCAAAAACTTTAAATAACTTTGAGCGTCTTGACTCATAGCAGGAAAACTGAACAATTTGCTTTTATCTTCCTTGACTTTTCTGAACAATTCCCAAGGAAACTCTGGCTTCAAGTACTGGAAGGGGTTTATCCAACTGAGGTCTGAGAAAGAACAAAATTAAAATTGAACAACTTGCTTTTTTCTTCCTTGATTTTTCTGAACAACTTCCATTGAAACTTTCGCCTCATACAGTGGAATGGGTTCATCCAACTGAGGCCTGAGGAAGAATGAAATTACAAAGTTAGGTCAAGGTAAAGATGAGTAGAACAATAGGATGGTAGTTGACAATTGCTATAGTTCAATTCTATTATTTTTTAAAGATTTTATTTACTTATTTGAAGAGTGCAGGAGCAGGGGGAAGGGCAAAGGGAGAATGAAAAGGAGAAGCAGACTCCCCACTGAGCGGGGAGGCCGGCCTGGGACTCTATCCCAGGACCTGGAGATCATGACCTGAGCTGCAGTAGTCAGATCCCCAACCGACTGAGCCACCCGGGCACCCCAATTCTATTATTTTAAATAATCCAAATAAATGTGTCCATTAGTATTTCCACTGTTAAAAGTGGTTAAGTTTTGATGGGGGAAAATGCCTACTTTATCCACTCCCAGATCCAACTTAAAAAAACCAAAACTGTACTTTTCCCTCTTCTGAAGCTATGGGTTATTTTATGTTACTCTGGGAAGGGTGATGAGAAAAGCAAAGGTTGTGTGGTGTGGTATGGAACGGATTAAGGAGAACTCATGAGCCACTTCTAACTTAGGGAATACTTATTGGTGTATCCCAAGATACACTTTGAGAAATATTAAAGAACAGCTCTTTATCCAAACAAAATAAAATATGGTGGCAATAGGTATGCTGTGAAAACTGAAACGGAAGTGGAAATGCTTGCCTTACCTCAAGAATAGAAAAAATAAACAATGATTTGGTTACTTAGCATACCTAAAGACTCCACTTGATAACTTCTCCATCACATCTTTTAAGATACGTAGCTGGAAAGATTATTAAGGTAGCAATGTAACAGAGAGAGAACTGAACAAAACCAGTCAATAAATAGAAGATGTTAGGCAGGTCACCTATTTAAGTTCAGCACTCTCAGAAACTGAGGATTTAATTTACAAAAATTCTGTAAGCTGTGAAGTTTACCCTGAAAACAGGGAAATGGGGAACTGATGTGAGAGAAGTGGAAACATAATGGAGCCTACACTTCTAAGTTAGGACAAGTGGCAGAAGCAGTAAGCCTCATGCCTTGTACTAAGTGACGACTAGTGTTATCCCAACCGGGTAGGAGTGTAGTGGTGTCAGGTTTTCCTTTTAGTACTATGTATGGTATTTTTAGTTAAAAACAATGTTAGCACTTACATCTCTTATGTTAGGTGCACATTTATTTACTAAACTGGCTGCTCATTGGCTCAAAATTTGTGTGCAGAAAAGTTAACAAACTGTAATTTGTCACTATGGGAATCAAAAAATAAGTGTAAAATTAAGAAAAAAATTGAATCATTTAAAAATCGCAATGACAGTTTTAGGATTGAGAGTCTATGTAATTGCTAGTACTAGAGAATGACACACGGCATATAATCACACAGTCGGAAGGAGGTCTGTGAAATCACAAGCAGCAGCTGGCTCACATGGGAACTGATTGAGGGGGGGTTTAGCACAAGTGAGGACTAGAGTCTGATTTGGGACTTGAAAATTCAGGACTTTAGAAAATGTAAATTAGATAGTACGAACATAAGCCATTTTAAAGATTTTATTAAAGAGGACCTAAAGAATTTCCCCCATATTGCAAATTCTCTTACTACTTCTGTTAAGTAAAAATGCCAACAGTAACTCTAAGAGTGTGTGTGTATGGAGGGAATTAAATAACACAGGCAAAGGAGCCAGCCTAGCTCCTGACATGTAAGATTCAAAACGTACTACCTAGTGTTACTCTTAACACATGGTGTTTGTTCTCTGCTGTTAACGTCCCATGAGATTCTTGATAATTACAACGTTAGTGGACAATTCAGTTGCTTAAAATTGAAATTTAAAGAACTCTTCTAGAAAGTCAAAATTTAAGTCTATTTTCCAAATTTAAAGAAAAATATTTATTCAGAAATACGTTCAACTCACACATTCACTACATAGGGAATGTTCTGGTTCTGAAATGTGCTTTTTACAACTCTATGTATGCAGGATACTAATGAAATACTCCTATTTGAAAGCTCTGAATTAATTCTGTCACTGCTCTTAGAGGAGGTGGGCCTTTATAAGTATGACGTGTATATAACTACACACATTTAACAAAAGCAAAGTATGATATTCAGTGGAGACAAACTTAAGGCTTGCAAGTTTCTTTCTTCGCACAGATATACTCTATTAAATAACAAGAACTTATGTTTTATCCAATATATTAAAATTTTTAGCAGGTGCAACTACCTTTAAAACAGTTATCTTAGAAAAAAAAGTTTTATTCATAAGTTTGACCCTGCTCTAAAGAGGTTTGGACCATTCTTTTGGAACTGCTTTCACATTCTCAAGACATGATTTCATTACTTTCACCAAAACTGGAATGATTTGGCTTCATTTGCCAGATTTTTTCTCTGAATGAATTCCATTAAAAAAAAAAATCAAACCCATCTTCATTTGATGGAGATCTTCTAGCACTGTTAATCTTAAAACAGCCCACAAACTCTTCAGTGCAGATAAGCATTCTGCAATGTCTTATGTAATAGCACCATTAGAGCTTAGATTAATGATGCAGCCTTTCAAGGGGATGTGTAATTTCCATAATGCCAAGTTGAAAATGAAATAAAATTTTACGTGTATCTTGTGGTTTATCTCCCATTCACAAACGAGCATGACTACCTGGATGATTCCTGTCCCACCACTTTTTAGCTGCATTCTGGAACATGTATTAACTTTTTTTATGCTTCAGTTTCTTCACCTGTGAGACAGGGATAATGATAGTACTTACACCTCATAGGGCTGTTTTAATGTTTAAACACATTAAAACCTACAAAAGCACTTGGAACACTGTTTGGCATGCTCAATGAAAGTTAGCTCTTATTATTATCAATTTTCATTATTAAAGAACTTAATGAGAGTACATGGTAAATTTCAAGCCAGAAACTCAGGTCAGTAGATAAAAAGGATATAAAGATATTTTCCTTGTTGCACATTTGACAAATTCCAAACTTCGTCATTAAGGAAAGCCACCGTTGCTCCCTTGAGGAAAAGGCAATGGCTATCTGGAGGATCCAACTTGGATAGAACGCACAGAGACTAATCAATGACTGTGAGTTTAATAGTAGACAGACGACTGGTAATCTTGAGCCAGAAAAACTTCTATGCAAATTAAATACCCAAATCACAAATGAACAGTATACAAACTTTAATAACAATATGTAAACTGTTAACGTTTTCTTTTCTAATTCATTGTCCAAAATGACAAAACAGCAAGGTCAGATGCAAGGCCTATGCAGAGATGATGGAATGGTAGCCTGTGTGCACGCATGTGTGTGTGTATGTGTGTGCATGAGTGTGTGCATGTGTATGAGAGTGAGATTTCTGGCTGCTACTTATCAGTTATCTTCATGAGGATGTCAGAAAATTAGTGAAGATTATTGATATATGAGGATTATGGTATTTGCATATCAACCATGATAAGAAAATTTGAATACTGTTGAGAAATGTAACTTTGGGAGACAATGTATATACACACATTTATAGTAAATTCCAATGTGAATGGGAAATTGTCATAATTTTGTACAGAAATATTTTGCTAAGTATATATCAACAATATGTCAACAACAAGAAAAAAAAAATCTTACTGGAAATACTACTAAAAAATTCAGAAGTCACTTCTTCCAAACCACTAAATAAAAGTTCAATGAACTTCTCTATTAGGCACTATTTCTACATTTTGGCCAACATGTATCTAAACTAAAAAAGAAAGCTACATTTCTTTAGAAACAGGTATAATTCAGAAGTTATAATTTCTTCACATCTTGTCTCAAAAGACTTAGGCATTATTCTTTGTTAAGTACATCCTTTTGGTGTAACAATAATGTCTTATTGTTTCTGATAATACCTGCAGGTTTTCTT